CGGCGCCCTGCGCAGGGCCTTCTCTGGGGCTCCCTCCCTCGCGCACCCGGGCCACCGCCCCGGGTGGTGGGAAGTTAAGCTCTCATCTCCGGAGGATGGAAGCCCGGCGGGTGGACGCCCCTGCGAGGCCCGAGGGGTGGCGGGCACGCCCGGTACCTGCACATAGCCCTGCTGCCCCAGCTCGATGGTGCTGGAGGCCTGGGTGAAGTGCGGGCTGAGGTAGAGGCCCAGCTGGAAGGAGAGGCCGTCCACGTTGAGGCAGTGCACCTTTTTCTGTGGGACGGCGGAGGGAGGCGAGTCGGTCTGGTGGCGCCAGCAGGAAGGAGAGGGGTGGGGGAGGGGCGGCCATCACGGCCCAGAGGCATTCTGGACCCTCATCCTCTCACCCTTTTAAAAAGTACTAACAGTGTCGGGCAGGTGGCTCAAGCCTGTCATCCCAGGATGTCGGAGGCCAAGGCGAGGGAAGTGCCTAAGCCCAGGCGTTCGAGACCAGCCTGGGCAACTTGGCGAGACCTCATCTCTACAGTAAACCAAAAAATCAGCTGGGTGTGGTAGCACGCACCCGTAGTTTCGGCTGCTTGGAAGGCGGAGGCGGAAGGATCGCCGGAGCCCAGCAGGTCGAGGCTGCGGTGGCCGGAAGTGCCACTGCACTCCAGCCTGGGCGACGGAGTGAGATTCCAACTCAAAAACAAAAAAGTAAATAAAATAAAAAATACTAATATGTATATTTAATATTTTTTGAGTTGGGGGGTCTCACTCTGTCACCCAAGCTAGAGTGCAGTGGCACAATCACAGCTCACCTCAGCCTCCACCTCTTGGGCTCAGGTGATCCTCTTGTCTCAGCCTCCCAAGTAGCTGGGACTACAGGTGCATGCCAGCATATCCAGCTAATTTTAAAATTTTTTGTAGAGACAAGATCTCACTATGCTGCTCAGGGTGGTCTCAGACTCCTGGGCTTAAGCAATCCTCCTGCCTCAGCCTTCCAAAGTGCCGAGATTACGGGTGTGAGCCACCATGCCTGGTCAAAAGAGTTACTTTTTTTTTTTTTGGTAGAGATGAGATCTTGCTATGTTGCCCAGGCTGGTTTCAAATTCCTAGGCTCAAGTGATTCCCCTGCCTTGGCCTCCCAAAGTGCTGGGAATACAGATGCGGGCCACCATGCCCAGCCAAAAAACGATTTATCAAGGATACCCTTGGTGCCAGGCTGTGTGAAGTACTTCCATGGGTCACGGGCACTGCTCATAAGCATTCCTGTGGGCTGGCGTCCTTTCTTAGGCCACAGTTTACAGACCTTTCAGCCCAGAAAGCTCAAGTCCAAGGCCACACGGGCGCGAGAGCCTTCTGACTTGAGAGGCTGAGGGCTATGCTCTCAGCCATCCTGCTCTCATTGTACAGACAGGCAAACAGGCACGCTGGAGACATGGCTTGCCAGGATTGGGGCCTGGGTTTCCTGAGGCCTGCTCCCTCCCAAGGCCGGAAGGGACCCCGGCCCGGGGAGCAGACCCTGGACCAGGTGGGTTAGCACGGTGACCATCGTCTCACCCATTGTGGTGATGAGCTTGACAGGAAATCGACAGCCACCTGTGGGGACAGAGCGGAGGGGCTGGTCAGGGGGTATCCCCCTTCACACACCCCATTTATGGATGGGAAGACTGAGCCAACTCGTGGCCAAGCTTGTCTTGCATTCTCCTGGGCGCCACACCCTGCTCTCCCCAACACCCTTCAGCCTCGGGGATGGGGGGGGTCACCCAGAGAGGGCACAGTCCAACTGGCGCTGATCCCTTCCTGGCCCCAGCCTCACCTCGTTGCTGACCACGTTTGCCGTCGTTCGCATCTCACAGCCGGAGTAGGTGCTGCGCAGGACCAGCTGGTCCCCGCTGTCCTCGGCTCGGCAGCTGCGGTCCCGGAAGCTCAGGTCTGTGATGGTGCACTTCAGAGCCTGGGGCGGGGCGGGGGTGTGTGAGGAGACACCCAGGACTGACCACAACTCCGGGGGTCCCAGGTCACTGCCGCCGCTCTGCTCCTCTCTGATTTTGGCTAGACCTCATCATCCTACACCTCTTAAGACTCTGGACTTTTCTTGAACTTGCTTATTTTTGTGCTGAGCCTTGTGCTAAGCAACAATGTCTATGGCCGGGCACAGTGGCTATTTATCAAGGATACCCTGAAATCCGGGCACTTTGGGAGGCCAAGGCCGGAGGAGCGCTTGAGCCTAGGAAGTTGAGGCCAGCTTGGGCAACACAGTAAGACCCCGTCTCTATCGAAAAAATGGCCGGGCATGGTGGTGCACACCTGTAGTTCCAGCTCCTTGAAAGGCTGAGGCAGGAGGACAGCCTGAGCCCAGGAGGTGGAGTCTGTGATGAGCATGATCGAGCCTGGGCAAACAGAGAGCAACTTTGTTTCAGAAAAAGCTAAAAGTGAAAATAAAACACAAAAATGGCTCAGGGGAAGCTCTAGCAACACAAGGGTCAGGCATTCCGACTCTGCACTGAGCACATGTCATCAGCCAGCGAGAGGGCGGCGTGCGCTGTGTCTGGGCATCTGCTCACCCCCTTTTCTTTGTTTTCTTCTGTACAACTGATACATTATATGCACCTTTCTGCATCTGTATTGATAGATTTATGACTTTTTTTGTTTTGTTTTTTCGAGTTGGAGTCTCACTCTGTCGCCCAGGCTGGAGTGCAGTGGCCGCTCCCGGCCACCGCAGCCTCGACCTGCTGGGCTCCGGCAGTCCTTCCGCCTCAGCCTTCCCAGTAGCCAGAACTACAGGCACACGCTACCAAGTTCGGCTGATTTTTTAGTTTATCATAGAGATGAGGTCTTGCCAAGTTGCCCAGGCTGGTCTTGAACCCGTGGGCTCAGGCAATCCTCTCACCTCAGCCATCCAAACTGTTGGGATTATAGGCGTGAGCTACCTGCAACCGGCCAGCCTAATTTTTTGTAGAGGCGACGTCTCACTGTTTTGCCCAGGCTGGTCTCAAATTCCTGGGCTTAAGCGGTCCTCCTGCCTTGGCCTCCCAGAGTGCTGAGACTACAGGCATGAACCACCATGCCCGGTCATACATCTTAATGGAAAACTGGAATAGCTGCCGTCAAATCACCCTCCAGTTAGCTGCATCTGGACTTCCGCTCCCATCAGCTGTGTACGAGGTCTTGCCAAGGTCTCATTTTTCTCTTTTGCCTACCTCTGGACACTTCAAAGATTATCTGGCCAATCTGCCTGGCAGAAATTCTCTTTATTTGCTACAAGAAAGCCGTTGGTCGTTCTGGGTTTTTTTCCTAGAGACAGGGCCTTACTGTGTCATCCAGGCTGGCGTGCAGTGTTGGGATCCTAGATCACTGCAGCCTTGAACTGCTGGGCTCAAGCAATCCCCCTGTCTCAGCCTCTCAAGTAGCTGGAACTACAGGCATCTCATCACCACACCCACTGATTTTTAAACATTTTCTGTGGAGACAGGATCTTGCTATGTTGCCCATGCTGGGCTCAAGCAGTCCTCCCGCCTCAGCCTCCTAAAGTGCTAGGGTTACAGGTGTGAGCCGTGGGGCCCACCCTTGACATATGTTTTTAAAGTATGTGTTATTTTTATAATAAATATATTTGTTAGGCCGGGCTTGGTGGCTCATGCCTATAATCCCAACACTTTGGAAGGCTGAGGTGAGAGGATGGCCTGAGCCCATGGGTTCCAGACCAGCCTGGGCAACTTGGTGAGACCTCATCTCTACAATAAATAAAAAAATTAGCCGGGTGTGGCGGCGCGTGCCTGTAGTTCCAGCTACTTGGAAGGCTGAGGCGGAAGGACTGCTTGAGCCCAGCATGGACAACATAGCAAGATCCTGTCTCCACAGAAAATGTTTAAAAATTAGTGGGTGTGGTGGTGAGATGCCTGTAGTTCACCCAAGCCCAGCAGGTTGATGCTGTGGTGGCCGTGAGCATGCCACCGCCCTCCAGCCTGGGTGACAGAGTGAGACTCTGACTCAAAAATAAATAAATAAAGGCGTTATTTACTGAGCACTGACTATGCACCGTGTCTGACTGCTGTGTGCTTGGCCTGTCAGACCTCATTTAATTGTCACCATGTGCATGTGGTAGGTGCCATTATCAAACCCATTTTGCATGTGGGAAATCTGAGGCTTGCAGAGGGATGTGACTTGCCTCCTGCCCAGACCAGGACCCCCAGATTCTTGGGCTAGTGCCGGGGCCAGCCGCCCATGTCTTCCCAAGCCGGAGAGGCAGGCGTTCCCTTACCGCGACAAGATCTTTCTTGAGTACCAGAGTCATGACGCCGTTGGCACACGTCGGCTGGATCAGGGACATGAGCAGCTCCGGGCTGCAGGTGTCCTTGGGAGGAGTGGTCTGGACCGGGGCGGGTGAGGTCTGCAGCCTGCCACCTGAGGGTCGGCAGAGGCAGGCCAGGAGGACAGTCACTGAGTGCTCATGGCCACTGGCACCAGGCTCCCGTGTGGTTAGCTACGCCCAGTGTCCCCACGTTTCAGATCAGAAGCACGAGGCTCGGAGAGGCTGATGTACCTTCCCTAGCACCGGAGGGGGAACAGGGCAGGGACAGGCGGTGGAGGGGGCAGGGGCTCACCGCAGCTGGAGGCCCGCAGCGAGATGACGCTGGCCAGAGGTAGCTCCACGAAGGACGCCACGATGCTGGCGTTCAGCATTCGGGCCATACCCAGCAGGCCTTGGGGAGTGTCGGGGAGCACCAAGCCGTGGATGTTATTCCCTGGAAAGATCTTGAAGGAGTATTCGCCCGTGGTCTAATGGCGGGGAAAGAGGCGGAG